TCTTTAGTTGATAGGCAAGGATGTGAAATCTTCTGTTTTACATCTTCTTGCCTTCCCTTTAAGAAAAAATAATAAAAGAGCCTAGAATGTCACCTGGACAGGTGACTTAGAGCAAACTGATTTTCTGTGGTTTTAAGTTTGGAGCATTGGCATTATTGCAGGAAAACACAACCTATGTTATTTACCATACTTACTGTGTCTATTTTTAATGTCCTCTTTGTGAACAAGAAAGCATTTGGAAGCAATGACACTTACTTTTCTTAAACCATTGTTTCCCCCAATAAAGTTGCCTGGTTGGTTTCTTTGGTGTTTGGGATTCTGCTCTGATTGTGTGTGCGGTTCTTTTACACGAGCCTGTGACCCTCAAACAGCTCATCAGCCGTGGGAAGCATGAATTCATCGCACAGGGTTTAATTTGCCCTTCGCTGAGATATTTAATTTCCGTTGCGGGTCCTTGCTCAGCTGCATGGTGCCTGACCTGGCAATGGCAGCCTAGCAACCTGGTGGGACTCCACCTGCCCCAAGCAATGCTGCAGGGTTGAGGGCCCACAGAAATGTTAATTATTTACAGTGGTGAATGAAAGAAGCTGCTGGAGTGGACCGGGCCACCATCTACTGGAGTCAATTGCCTTTTCAACTTAAATGCACACAGGTGATGTTTATCTGAGGACCTGAACATTTGCTTAATCTACAACATTTCTTCGCCAGTAAAAGGCAACTTGTAAAGTTGAATGGTAATTAAACTTAATCTAAATAAATCAAGCATTATTAGAATGATTAATTTTCTGAGTATCCATTAGCATTTTAAGTTATGCAGGAAAGAAAGCTACTGTTCAGATTTTAAATACTAGGTCCAATATGTCTGGTCATACTAAATGATCAAAGACTAATTTTAAACTAGGCATGTGGGACCCCTGGTTTTAAGTCCTATTTGAGAGGGAAAGATGCTCCCATTATTATTATTAATAACAATGTTAAAATGAAAGATTATTGCATAGGACAGACAGAAAACACTACGGTTTCTCTGGGGTCTGTGTGTGTGTATGTGTGGGTGTGTGTACGTACCTGAGACCAAGCAAGAAAACAAGGCACTACATTTATTAAGCACCAACTATATGCCAGGTATTTTACATATATTGTCTTTGCATGAGATAGGTACAATTATTATCCCCATTTTACAGATGATATAAGTAAGACTCAGGAGACAGTGCAGCTTGCCTAGGGTGATGAATTTGGGATTTGGACTCATCTGCTAGGATGCCAAGCTCCCTTTCTTTTCAGTACATTGCATGCCAGGCTGAAGGGCAGAAAAAGAAGGCCGGATTGAGCCCATGGTGCACATGGAAAGGGGAAAAGGTTGGAGTCAAGGGGAATGAAAGGAGGCACACCGGTTAATTCCGTTTTTATTCATGCTTAATATTCCTACATCTTCAGTTATAGGCATTTAGCTTCCTGGCTTGAGACTTGACTGCTTTCTTCTGGGATTCAGCAGGTCTGGCCTGTCTGCCCAGTGGAGAGTCTGGGCCAAAGAAAAAGACATTAGCCTGAGGAGCTGAAGGGCGGAGGGACCTCATCCCAGGGGAGGGGGAGGCAGCGGGTGAGTTTGCCCCCAGTGCCGCAGAGTCGAGGGAAGTGCACATGCGGAGCGGTCTGAGACATTCCACCCTGTCTTCTTTCCTTCCCTCCCTCCTTCCACAGGCACCAGGCCCCCGGAGGTCTGAAGGCTCCCCCTGGCTTCTCCTGCTCTCTCCCCCTGCACCTCTTATACCTGTGAGCCCACCTTGGCCTTTGCTTTTGCAGGACCTGGGCTAGCACAGGGGCCTTGTCCCAGCACCTCCCCCCCATGTTACAGGCCATCAGGCATATTGAGAGATGGGAGCCTTGAGTGCCTGGTGATTTCAGGCTTGTTTTTAAACATATTTGACTCCACCTTTGTCCCAGGGACGACAGGACACACCTGGAGGCCCTTTGCAGAAGATGAGATACCCAGTAAGCAGGTGGGGCAGGATCTCATAGAACTTGGGCTGTGGCTGTTTTATGTGATCCCACGGGTGGCCATAGGCTGGTGAGTGGGCGAGCCCTGGAAAAACTGAGGTTATGAACACACAATGCAAATATCATACTGAATCAATAATAATTGCTGTCATAAGTAAGACGAACCCCATGTTTTAGTTTCTATATCAATAATATTATAATCATGTTGTATTTTTAAATTAGGTGAAATGATAGCAAACATGTTCACTGCTTGCTGCATGCCAGACGCTATACTAAACTTCACTTGATAACCCTAAGGCAGACACTTATTCGCTCATTACCCACTTCTTCTGTGCTAATAAAACCTTGCTTTTGTTTGAGACAACAATGTGCCAGCCCCAGGTAATTGCTTTTGTCACACAATCAGGACACTCCTGTTCTCTGTAGTCCCAGCTTCTTCTGCACTGAGGGGTGTCCTCACAGTCCAGTTCTGTCCAGCAGACCTAAGCAGTAGTCGGCTGGGGGTGGGGATGGGGCGCTGGGTCACAGAACATGCTTCTCCTGGAACACTGCAGGGCACAGTCCCTCACCCTCTGGGGTCTTTGCTTAAATGTCACCTTCCCAGTAAGACCTACCCTGGACACCCTGTTTAAAACTATAAACCCTGGCCCAGCCGCGGCTCAGGGGTTGAACATCAATCTAGGATCCAGGAGATGGAGGTTCGATTCCCAGTCAGGGCACATGCCCAGGTTGCAGGAGGCAGCCGATCAATGACTCTCAACATTGATGTTTCTCTCTCTCTCCCTCCCCCTTCCTTTCTCTGAAATCAATAAAGATATATTAAGAAAATTAAAAAAACCTATAAACCCTGGCACATAGTAGGCACTCATAATATATATTTTTTCTCTTTGCATGACCGCTTGAAAACAAAGCAGGGAAAGTGACTGGAGAAAATGCAGCGCAGCAAGCGCAGATATCCTGGGACAATCACATGCCTGCCGTGTGCGGTGACGAGGAGGAGGCCAGCGTGACCGGTGGTGTGGAGGGGAGGACAGTGAGAGACGGAACCAGGGTGACGGTGGAGAGCCTGACCACAGAGGGCTTGTGGTCACAGTGAAGCCCTCGGCTCGTACTCTGAGTGCGCTGGGAAGCCCAGGAGGCGGCCGACAGCCTCCGAGTTGCATCGAAACTGCCACCTGGCTACTGCTGGGAGACGGGAGCGGGTCACAGACGCAGGGGGAATAGTCAGGGGGTTCCCGCAACAATCCAAGCCAGTGGTGAGGGTGGCTTGGTCCATGGTGGTAGCAGTGAGCAAGGAGAGACGTGGCCAGGTCCTGTATATATTTTAAAGGCATGGTCAGGAAGATTTGCTCACAGGTTGGGTGTAGCTTGTGAGAGAAAAAGAGGAATGAAAGATGACTTCAAGGTTTTTGCCCGAGAAACTAGAAGCAAGGTGCTTGGGAGGACTGCAGAGGAAAAGTGGGTTTTGGGGGGAAAACCAGGCACTCACTTTTGGACATGTTTCAATGTGAGGTGCCCACGGTCCATTCCGGCAGAGGCATCAAGGAGTCAAATGGACATACAGCTCTTGATTTCACCGGAGAGGTCCAGGCCGGCGACACAGATAGTGTTTAAAGCGATGGGACTGGATGGGTTCGCCCAAGACATGCGTGTGGTTGTTAACAAGAGGAACAGGAAGAAGAAAGATGTTTGAGTGTGAGAATGAATCCTGGGACCTTCCCACCGCGGTGATGACAGGTGCTGGGTGCTGGGTGCTGGGTGTGGCCGCCCCGATGTGCAGGTGCTCACCCCTCATCCAAAACGCTGCAAGGTAAACACTCAACCCGACTCGATGGAAGTGGAATCTGTTACACAGTGAAGAAACACCTGTCCCAAGGGACCCAGATGGTATCTACCTGACTTTTGTAGGAAATAAAACTTTGAGTTCATTTCCTCTGGCGCCTTAACTTACAAATCTTAGCGTCAGCCCTCCTATCCAATCAGCCTTTCATTCTCTCTTCACGCTGAGCTTCAGTACTGGCTATGCCAACCTTCCCGCTGGAACCTTCCCTACAGTTTCCTGACGGGATTCCCTGCCGGGAGCCTCCCCCTCGGCTAATCCATTCCGTATCTTCCTGAATATCAGGTCGATTGCGCCACCTTCCTGCTTAGCCCTCCTGTGAATCCCTCACTATCTGCAAACTATAATCCTTCTCTAGCTTGGCTTACAGGAGCCTTCACAATCTGGCTCCAAGCTGCTTCTCCAGGCCCATCTCCTGCCAGCCTCCCCCCAAGCCTACTTTTCTGACATTGAATCTCTTCCTGAGGTACGCCGAGCTCTTTCGCCACTGAGTTTCACACGCGGTTTCCTCCTCTGCCCACACGGCTTAACCCCCAGTGCAATGTCGCCGAGACGGTGGGCACCGTGTCTTGTTCCACGGATCAGGGTCAAGCTTTCAACTTCGCACCGTGAAGTGGATGCTTGTTGTACGACTGCTTTACCTTCCCTGGGTCAGACTAAGGAAGTTCCCTTCTTTTTGAGGTTGCCAAGAATTTATTGTTGCTTTATCAGGAATGGATATAAAATTTTATCAGATGATTTCCTGCATCTACTTGGTATCATAATTTCTCTCCTTTAATCAATCATTGATTTATTTTCTATTGTTAAATGAACTTTATATTCCCTGGATGAACCTGGCATAATCTTCACATGTTGTCCTTTCTTGATACATATATTTCTGGATTCCTTTTGCTAATGTTTTGTTTAGCACATGGCCTTACAATCTGTGCAGTGGCCCAAAGGGAGCTCTTTTTGGAGAGGTGACCAAAAGCACTCTGACAGGAGCAAAGTTTAATTTCCACTTCTGTCTGGGATTAGGGCCCTGAATGGATGTCGAGGACTGGGGGTGGAGGGGATGTGTGAAGCTGTGTGTTTCTGTAGGGAAATGAAAGTTCCATTATCCATAACTTTCATATTTGGCACAAAGTTCAGTATACAATCTAAAAAATCAAAGCAATACTAATTGTTATAATTCAAAAGTTTTAATAGCAATGAAATAAAAGCCCACCATTTATAAATAACCTATTTAATGTTTAGTTTCATAGTTCACCTTACATTAAAATAAGGAGTAGAAAGAAAAGAAAGCCTCAGGAAGCCCCCGAGACACCCCCCCAGGAAGCTTTCTACATCATCTCCATGAATGGCATCGTGTCCTGCGGTTTGATCAGGCCCAGCTTGATGAGGACGGCCTTCTCCAGGTCCAAATAAGTCTCGTAGTCCATTTTCAATTCAGCCTCCAATTGTTCTTTTCCCTTGTGATACGTTTTCTAGGGAGCGAAAAACACAAGTCATCCCTACAAGATACTGACGGCTAGAAATACCGAAGGGTGAGACCGGGCTGTTTCTGAACAGTGGGCCTGGAGATGTTCCCGGGAGAGGGGCGTCTCTTGCCCAGTCGGGGAGTGGCCCTGCTGGCTCTGAAGGGGGGTGGCAGGCACAGCGTGGGGAAGTGCGTGCAGATTCACGGTGCCTCCCGGAGGTTGCTGAAGGGCTGGATGTGGGCTCCCGGGGACAGCGGGGAATCCAGGCTGGCCTGCAAGCTCCTGCCACTGACTGAGGGAGGAGCACACGGAGAAGGGAAGTAACGACGACTAGGAGCATTTATCCCGCTAATGTTCCCAGTACCACTTGCTGAGTAACCTGGATCTTTGACGCGTCAGTGTTTGTAATTATTGTGGCCTTTTAATTCTTTGTAATATCGGCTAGGGCAGTCATGATTTTTAAGATGTGTCTTCTCACCCGTGTCTTCTTTCAGAAGCGCTAGGGACGCTCCGCGTTGGTGTGTCGCCCGTGTTCCCTGTGTTTCTCCCCCTCTACTCATGTTCTCACCCTGCTGCCCTCCTGTGCCTTCCCCTCCTTTGTCACAAAGCCCTGTCTTCGTGGATTCCATCAAGGGGACCAGTGCTCTGGGCTTTTATTCTAGTGTCTTTAGAGAATCATTTTTAAGAGCTATCTTCCTCTTTTATTTTTATTTACTTATTTCTTAAAATATGTCTTTATTGATTTCAGAGAGAGGAAGGGAGAGGGAGAGAAAGAGACAGAAACATCAATGATGAGAGAGTCATTGATCGGCTGCCTCCTGCAGGCCCCTGCCCGGGGATCAAGCCCGCAACCCGGGCATGTGCTCTGACCTGGAATCGAACCTCGATCTCCTAGATCATAAGTCGATGGTCAACCACTGAGCAACGCTGGCCGGGCTATTTTCCTCTTTTAAATGTTCACAATGATTGATGCTCCCTTCCCTTTGCTGTATTCTTTCCATATGTTTGCTTTTCTCTCTCTTTTTTTAGCTGCTGTCTCAGATTCCTGTGTCTAATTGTTGTTGTACCTACTTCATAGCTCTATTAGGACTAAATGAATTATTAAACACGCCGAGCCCTCAGAATAGTGCCTGACACCCAGTAAGCACTCAGAAGGTGTTAGCTATAGTAACCAGTTCACAAAAGAGCAGGACTTGATAGGGTGAGAGCGGAAAAATGTTATTCTTTTAACCCCAGTCTTTGCAACATATGGGACAGATCCCGTAGCATTTCCTATCACTTTTAGATACTAGGAATAGTGTAATTTTCAGGTATTGGAAGACCCAGGCCAGTCTAATATTAAAGTGGCAACTGCCCCTCAGGGCCACTGCATTGTGCCCCTTCAGCCTCTTTCTGCAGGGGTTTACTCATCCCAGTTAGAAATCCTTTTGGCACTTTTGAGCCTCGCTTCTTTCCAAGGGTCTACTCAGCACCCTCACTCTGTCACCAGTAGGAGCTCATTTCCCACGGGCCCTCTCTCCACCCTCTGACAGAGCAGTTTAAATCAATCTCTTGCGTGTAAACATTTCCAGCCTTAAGAGTCCAGGCCCTAGTCTCTGGGTTCCCCAAACTGCCCCTGGATATTCTACTCTGGTCACCTGGTAATTCCTGGCTTTGGGTTTCTGTGGCTCAGCAAGCCTCCTGCCAGGTGTCCGGGCCACTGTCTATCCTGGTCAGCAGCCTGTCTCTAAGGGAGTCTGCGGTTGCAGAAGTGGGAAGTGAGGAATACGTAGCCCTCTGACACCTCTCTGCAGAAAACCATGCCCTCTTTCAGTCTTCTTCCACGTAACGTTTGCTTCCCTTACGGAGCCTGGAGTGTGAATTGACTAGAGGTCGGGGAATTCTCTTCTAAGCCTCATATAGGTGGCATAGCTTATGGATCCACGGAAACTGCTATCTTCCCCAGCTTTGGGTCTCCGGCTGAAATTCCAGTTAGGAGAATTCCTGTTTCATGTGCTGTTTGAGCTGTAATTACTATTGTTTTTCAAAAAGTGAGCTGTATCCAGACTCAGTGTTTACAAGGAGGTGGGTGTATGATGTCCCTGGGATCCATGGGCTGAAGTGCACAGCCCCATCCCTGTCAACTGGGGGGCACACGTGTGGTGTTCTTCTGTCCTCTGTAGTAATACTAACGGTAAACACTTACTAGCACTTTCCATGCGCCAGTTACTGGCTAAGTGTTCTCAACATTTTAATTCATTTTAACTGCACTCCTCTGAGGTTGTTACAGTTTGTTTCCATTTTCCCTTTTATCAGCAGTTGCTTATGAACAGGTGTGTCTGACTAACGTTAGTTGTTTATCCTTAGTGACCTTTTCGTGTTCTAAATGTAACAGAGGAGCCCTTTAAAAATTCATTCACTTAGCCACAGTCTAGTTCCAGAGAAAATCTGAGAAGTGGTAGCAATTTCAAGTGGGAATAAAGTCACAAGAAAGAGTTGGAAAAGTTTTGGAAGCTATTATTATTATAACATTCAGGTGTTTTAATAGTATTTTACAGGGAAATTATTTTTGTATTATCCACAATTTTACTTGCTTCTACTGATGTGGATAATTAGGAGCTGTTGCTATGGTACTTAAACACTCATAATAGTCGGAGATAATTGCTGGCACAGTGAAAGGGAGGCAGGGTGTCTCCTACAGCAAAATTTCAACCAATATTTGGAGTGCACAAAAAAACAAACCAAGACAATTTTTTTTTATAGCTGGGGAAAACAATGAGAAGTTAGTTAATCTGTATTCTTTTATACCTTGTCCCCACTAAACAATTTGTGAAATGAGGCCCTCTGCTTTTATTACATTAGTTAATATCTATCTATAAGTGATCATGTTAATTCAGCGATTTTTCAACCGTGTGTTACAGGAATTTTTAAAACATACAATACCTGACTATTTAGTCAGGGGCACTGACCTCTTTTTCCTTAGATCGGGGTTGGGGAACCTTTTTCTGCCAAGGGTGATTTGGATATTTATAACATCATTCGAGGGCCATATAAAATTATTCACTTAAAAAGTTAGCCTGCTATATTTGGTCAAACATTTAATTAACTCACCCCTAATGTGATGGCTGAAACTGCTTCTCTTTGGTGAGGCCTTGGCAGGGCCAGACCAAATGATTTCGTGGGCCAGCCATTCCCCACCCCTGCCTTAGATTGTCAAATAAAAAAAAAAGACAACAGCCAACACAACAATAGCCATCCAGTGTGAATGAATCAAAATTATACCTATTTTTTCTGTCATTTCGGCAAAAAATAGATTTTTTGGCATGCTGCAGAATTTTAGTAATTAGTTTATGTGTGCCATGAGATGAAAAAGCGTTGAAGATCGCTGTGTTAATCTATGTGCTAATCCGCTACATGAAACTGTTTCTACCTACTTGTGCTTTTGAGACCCAGGATCTCACATGAGAAATTAGGTGTGAGGATGCTACATATTTGGCTAGAAGGAAACTACAGGTGGGATCAGTGATGAAAATGCTGGTGACAAAAGGGCAAGGAAGAGAATGAACGAGAGAAATAAAAATATGGGCTAAGATGACCTCAAGTGACAGAGAGAGAGAGAGAGAGAGGGAGAGAGAGAGAGGCTGAATTCACAGAATATTTAAAGGCCTCACATTCTGTCAGGCCAAGGGAAGGCCAACAGAGTGACAGAATTCATACCAAACAGCGGGACTGAAAAAGGGGAGGATGGGTTCCTTTTTGGTAGAGTTTAAGATGAACGGGAACTGGAACAAATTCAAGTTTCACATCGCCAGTATTTTATGGTGAAATTCCTATCTACCTGTCTGTCCTGTTTGTATACTAGCTCCCATTTCATGAAAGTTTACTATTTGTCAGGTTACTTAACTGAAAGCCTTACAGTCATCTGAAAAGGTAGTTATTAGTTTTTCCATTTAATTAATTAATTAATTATTATTTTTTTAAATCCTCAGCTGAGGATGTTTTTTCCATTGCTTTTTCAGAAAGAGTGGAAGGGAGCGAGCGAGAGAGAGCGAGAGAGAGAGAGAGAGAGGAACATCGTATGTAAGAGAGACACATCGATCGGTTGCCTCCTGCACGAGTCCCAACCGGGGCTGGGGACACAGCCTGCGACAGAGGAACGAGCCCCTGGCTGGAATGGAGCCCGGGACCCTTCAGTCTGCGGGCCGACGCTCTAACCACTGAGCCAGGCCGGCCAGGGCTGGTTTCCCATTTTAAAGACAAGAGAATGGAGGCTCAGCAAAGATCTGAGCCTTGCTCCGGGTCTCACAGTAGGTAGGTAAGAGGCGGAATTGGGATTTGAGCTCACGTGTCCTGATTCCATATTCCACTTTTTTTTGTACCACCTGTTTTAATGCATTATTTACCAGATATTAAAATTCTGTATAATGAAAGCATTCAGATTTTGAATCATTGTGCGTATAAATGGTATTGAGGTGCCGCTGTATCTAAAAGACTTCAGCGTTATAGAAAATTTCAGAAATTTCAATTAGATAGAATCTTCCTAGGGGTCCAGTGATAGCTGCTTACTCATAGTAAGCTAGGAAATCAGGGAGATGCCCTCTTGACCCTCTTGAGAATGAGAGAAGAATGTGACAAGGCATAGTTTTCCCATTCAAATTTCGGAATGAGCCAAAGATACGTTTCCACTGGGGTTAGAGGAAACCAACTTTCGTTTCTGAAATTTAACTTACAACTTTTTTCTTCTCCATCTCCAGCTCCCTCTCTTCCTTTTCTTGCTCACGGATTTTCTTGCGCTGTTCCACATATTCCAGGTGCTTGACTTCTCTTTCAAAGTAGTGGCTTATGCTTGATACCTGTTAGAAACACAGGCCCACGAGAGAGGAGCGCCCCAGCCCCCCGCCATGCTCTTTACAAGGCTCTGGAAGAATTCCTGCTGCTTCTAATTGACCAGATAGTTTACCTACTTTGGGATGCTGCCCACAGGCCCACCACCAGAGAAGCCAGCTCAATTTGGGGGCAACTGTGCTAAGTTTTACACCAATAGTGCGAATTACACTATTCCCAGAAGGGAGTGAGGTTGGAAAGAGAGAGCTGCAAAAAACTTTTTACAATTTCGTAGAAGGAAATTTCAGGGATTGCTTTTTCCCCTTTCCTTCCTTCTCATCCTAACACTGAAGGAAGTTTCATATTATCAACACAACTTGAAAAACCCAGATGAAGGCATCACTGTAGATCCTAAAGCCCTGGGAGCAGAGTTGAGTTGCTGGTCCCCTGGAGGGTGTGGCATGTAGGCATAAGGACAGAAACAGGAAAATGGACAAGAGACCTTGGACAAGGTGACCAGGGGAGGGAAAGCTTTTTGTCCGACATTAGCTAGGCTGATGTTGTTGGGAGTTGCAACAGATTGCAATCTATACATTCAATGTTGGGTGTACGTATATTTATGTATTTCTAGTTACTGATCTTTTCATAACCTCCTTATGAACACTGCCTGCAACCCTTGGGTGGTAGGTATGGTGGGGCAGAATCTTGCCACCTCAGACACCCTGCTGGCAGCACACCAAGCTAGGGGAGGATGAGGTGGTGACGGGCAATGAAGACATGCATAAAAACGTCAGATGTGCCCTCTGTGAAGGGCATCACTGAAGTAAGGGTCCCATGCTTCAGTTACAACCTGAAAATAACATCTTATGAGTATTGACTTGGCCTCCCTCTCATTGCATGTTTGTTTTTTTCTAGCTTCAAACTATTTAACTCATCAAACAGAAATACATCCCTTTATTTTCGACTGTATGATTCTTCTGTTCTCTTATAAACATGCTGTCATTTCTGAACACACTTTTAAAACATGCCACAGTCATATTCAGCCACATAAATCCTCAAAATCAAAAGTTACTGACCTCATTGAGGGAAGGGTGACTTAACGTCCAAGGAATTTCTAATATATGCAGTGTCCCATAATAATCAGCTACGGCTAAGAATTGCTGCTTAGCTGAAAGATTAAAAAAAATTGGGGGAAAAACAACTCAGCAACCAGAAAGCTGTAATAGAGGTTAAACAGGAAATGTGGTTTGTTTTGTGGTCTCCCAAAAGGCCTACAGTGCTTACAAGGATCTTGGCGTCTTCATCAGACACTCGTGACTGGGGACCATATTAACATGTAAGTCACTTTTTCCAGTTGATGAAATGAAGGCTGAGACCCTGAGCCTTTGTCAGCCCCCCTGCCCCCCTTAGATCTTCTTTTCTTGGTGTCTGCATGAAGAGTGTGGCTCCTCACTGAGGCTGACTCTCGCTGTGGTGGGGCCCAGTGGGGGGACTTGGGAAGAAAGCAGGGAAAACACATGGAAAGATTTTCAGAGAAAAATCATGACGCCAACATTTGCCAAAGACACAGCAAGGGCTAAAAGGATACCATTACACAGATGAATTTCAAAGACACAGCCAGAACCAGAAGCTAGAATAAACACCACATTGTTTCCTTTGAGCATTTAAAATGGATATGAAACACAAATGTGTTTGAGCATTTAAATTTTCTGTCTCATCATGCGAATTTTTTTCTCTTCTCGTTTTCAGAAAATCCGGTTCAAATTGCTAAATTCTACATTTGTAATCCCTGTAGGTATACAGTTTTGTAGCAAAGATAGGAAAACACACTTTGGTGACATATGGCTCAGCAGGAGCCAGGCTGTGACCTTCTAGAGACCCTGAAGGCTGAATTTCTCAAGGTGATGCTTCTGAGAGAGAAATGAATAGAAAGACAATTGTATGCCTGCACACCTTTGGAAACAAAGAAAAACTTTTTTAAAAAGAGGCGAATATGCCTGGCCAGGCGTGGCTCAGCGGTTGAGCATCGACTAGGGATCCAGGAGATGGTGGTTCGATTCCCGGTCAGGGCACAGGCCCGGGTTGGGGGCTCCATCCCCAGCCGGGGGCGTGCAGGAGGCAGCCCATCAATGACTCTCTCATCGTTGATGTTTTTATCTCTCTCTCTCCCTCTTCCTTTCTCTCTTTAAAATCAATAAAGATATATATAAAAAAGAGGCGAATATATTGGATTTACATAGAAAGCAGTGCTTGGTTGAAACAGAGAAATTAGGACAAAGGAAATAAATTATTAGGAGGAGATGAGAAAGATGCTTTGTGTCGTGTGGTTCAAAATCCCCCTCTGCTTGGCATATTTAATGTGTCTCGGAAATAACTGTTGATGAAGAAATTACTGAGAGAAGCTCAGGTTGTATCCAAGGTAGCGCAAGAGAGAAGAGGCAGGATGGGAGGAAAAGGGGGAAGAGGAGGGAAGGGAGGGAAAGGAATGGGAGAAAAACAAAAACCTGAGGAACGGCAGTGGAGGCTGTCCAGACGAATGCCAACGTTTTCCTGAGCCACCCAGAAAAGGCAAAGTGACTGATTACGTTTGTTCAGAATGAACATACCAGAAAAGGTCTGGGGTTTGATGTAGGTGATCATAGTTATGCAGATGTTTTGTGACTGGGCTGGTTCATGGGTTTTCTCCAGAAGGTCCCAGATGTCGACGTATCCATCTTCTCGGCCAATATAGAAGACGCCGGGCCTTGTCAGAGACCAGTGCCCCGAGGTGTACCTTTTTGGAGCACAGGATGACTGAAGGAGGGGTCCGGTCTTTAAGCAAAGTTTTAAAAAGACAAATTAAAAGCTTGCGTTACTGTTAAAGGGATATTCACAACGACTTTAAATACAGATAGCTATAATCATATAATAGCAAAATTATGCCTACTGAGAAGTCTTAGTTCTATTATTTGTAGGATTTTTGTTAACACCTTTTTCTTCTTATTTTAGTTACTTTTTAGCAAAGATCAAACCCTTCGAATCGAGCCATTGACAGTTCTAATAATCTAACTGCTACTGAAGCCCACTGCTGTTTCTCTGGAGACTGGTGGACATCAGATTAGTGAAGAATATTTCGCTCATGCCTTTATTTTGCTGTCAGGTGTCTCCTTCCCATGAAAACAGCTCTGGGAGCCAGGAAAAGCAAATAAAAAATCAATTCTAGCCGTGAGCGGCAAACAATGACTTATAAATATTATTGGGAAGAGATTTTAGACCAGCAAAGCACTTATAAGTTCATCTTGTCTTTTTTCTACCGTGGGGTCGTTTGCCTTCTTCGGGGGGTTTTCATGTGCTTTCTTCCCACTGTCACGCTCCACCTGGCAACCACGCAGACCCGTTTATCTATTGACATCTGCGGGAACTAAACCAAGCAGTGGAACTGCCTCCTACCTTCCAGTACATGCACAAGAAGCCTTCCTGTGGAGATGGAAGAATGTCTCAGATTCATGGACTCCTTAGAGGTGCCGCTCAAACCTGTTCTTGGCCACTTTGCCCAGATCCTTCCTTTTCTGTGTATAACCAGGTTCCTGCCCCTGCAGTCTTTGGACAATCTTGCCTAAATTTTCTTTTTCTTTTTCTTCAGTTACAAAACTAACACTTGGTCATTGTAAAAAAAAAAAAATACAGAGTGCACTGATATAAAGGAGTAGAAGTCCTTTTGTGGACAGACACATAAGTAGTTTCCAATCCTTTCAATGAAAAACTTGTACATGTATTCACACATTTTTTAATTTTATTTTTTGAGATTTGTGTTACAGTCCCAGAAGTGAAAGCGTTAGGTAAAAGAAAAAAATATTCAGAAAATTTTATGTGTATATGTAAATATATTACACATTATTTATTCAAAGAATATGTATATATATAGTACAGCTGTGAAATATACATATTTCAGATTTTGATAATCTTAAATTTGCTCACCAAAGGGATATATCATATTGATTTTTCCACACCCTTATTTCACTGTTTTTTCTCAGTCATTCTAGTTTTTGGCAGTTAAGCTTCTGTGCCCTGTCCTAATCTTGATCACCAGATTTTCTTGTCACTGTTTCACTTTGACCCACACACCCCTCTGCTCTGCCTGATGACAGACCCTTTAGCTTTTTTACTCCCACTTCCTGAACCTGCTGACATATTCCTGGTGCAGAAGCAAAGGTTACAGACCTAGTGTTTCTCCTTGGAGTTCATGTAGTAATCAGCATCCCTTCTTGTATTCTAAGGGGAGAAAAAATGCAAACCAAGCCAACTGAACATTGTACATATATATGTGTGTGTATGCTTTTCTTTCCTGAGGGAAGGAAACATTTAAAAGTCACTTGTTCTCTCAAAGCTAACAGTCTTTTATGAAAACCCAAATGGTTGGGTTTTCAAAGGGCATGTAGCAGTTCTGCCGACAAGCTGGAGCCAGGCCATCTGTTTCAATCTCTCTAAAAAGTGTCCTGAAGGCACTGTTATGTCAGAACAGTCTGTCAGTTCCTGTTGTCTTTCTCAATAACAAAGGACCATTCCTCCATGCTGCAAGCAACTTACCATGACACCTTCCTTCCAGATGGCCACGTTCCATCCCCCTACGGTGAGGATGATGTCCTTGTAAAAAGGTGACCTCTGAACAGTGTGGACGGCACCATCATGGACGGTGCTGAGGCTCACTGGCTTCTTTGCTGTTGGAATGGAAAAGGCCATTTCATCTTTAATTACACTCTATACATTTCTGCAATAAAGGGCGAAGTGACTTCCACTGGATGGACGGGTCTTGACTAATGAGAGCCAAGAGTAAAGAACCAGAGGTCAGTTGGGGGGAATGAATCAAGGAATAGCTCCCCTTCTTTTTATAAAATGTCCAGGGAATTTCCCATGAAGGCCTCTTTTCAGAGGAATGCTTCATGTTCTCATTCATTCATTCATTCATTCATTCATTCATTCATTCATTCATTCAATTAGTCAATAAATATCTGTGCATTGCCTATATGTAACAGGTACTATAGATGGCCAGGCAAACAATGCTTAATAAACAAACATGATCCTGCCCTTATGGAGCTCACAGTCTAGTGGGAAAGACATATATGCACCCACTGGACAAATTCCAAAGTACAGAATAAAAAATACGACAAGTGTTACGAAGGAAAAAAGTATTACAAGAAAAGTAACAAGGGACATGCATGAATTAGACTGAATGCTCAAAAGAGTCTTCTCTGAAGATGAGTCATTTAGGCCTGATAGCAGCAGTTTGACCGGGGGAGATTTTGGTGTGGAGGAGCACTCCAGACAGAGGGAGCAACATACACCAAAATCCCAAGGAAGAAGTGTTTCACATCTTTATAAAATTTGAAGAGGGCAATAAGATCGAATCTGGTAATCCCAGTGTGAGACACGTAAAACAAACGGGGACTAGGAGTTTCCAGACCAAGCAGGGCCTTGTAGGAAAGGCCTTTAGGATATATTCCAAGTGCAATGTGTTTTAATGAGTGCTTCAGGCCTAGAAGACAATCCGATTGACATTTCCAGAAGATCCTCTGGCTGCTATGGGGAGAATGGATTGGTGGCAGGTAAAAGCAAACAGGAAACACCAGAGGAGGCTATTGTGGTGGTTCTGATGAGAGCAGATGGTGGCTTGGATGACGGTGCAGTAGGGGAGGGTAGCTAATCAAGACATATTTGCAAGCTAGAATTGACAGGGCTTGGACATGGCTTGAACAGGAGTGGTGAGAGAGACGACTGCTGAGACTAACAGCCAGGTTTCTGGTAAAAGCAGCTGGCTCCACGGAGTTTCTATTTATGGAAACTGGGAAGACTAGAGGAGGAGCAGGTTTCCATTTAAAGATCAAGACTTCCCTATAGTCTCAGCCCCAGGCCCCAAGGGGAACTCTTCTCTGGTCTCTTCACTGCGCCATTGCTTGGGTTTCCTTTCCCCGAGGCCTGTTCTCAGAGCTGGATGTGTCCCACTCCTTGCTGCCCACACCCACAAACCCCAGGGGTGGCCACTGCAAGTCTCGCCAATTAATCCAGCTCCTGTTCTCCTGCAAAGAGTGATTTTCTGATTTATACAGTAGCTCTAGAAGAAATCCCCAAACTCAAGTCTCTTGGCCATCTGGACCTAAATGTCTTTCCTGGCACCTCTCCTGCTGCTGTTGCCCTTTCTATTGCTGTGGTTTGGCCATGAAGACATGTCCCTGTTTCCTCATTGTCCCCAGGTCTTTGGGTTTCCATTTCTTTGCACTTGTTACTCTTTCTACCTGAAATGTCTTTCTCCATCAGCAAAATTGCAATGCACCCTTCAGGACCCAGCTCCACTGTCTCTCTCTTCAGTGGGGCCTTTTCTTAAGAACCCAAGAGCATCAGTCATCATTTGTTTATGTGTCTGACTTTTCCAACAGATCATGGGACTCCTCTAGGAGAGGATAATATCTTGCTTGTCTTTATACTACCAGTGTCTGGCACATAGTAGGTCTCAACAGTGATCTGATGAATGAATAAATGAAAGTAAGAGCAAACAAACATCAGGGAGGTTCAAACATAAAGCTCTTGGTTTTTAAGTTTATTGTCATTGGTTATTCTATAAATGGGAGTAAAACTCATTTAAAAAAAAATAACTAAACCTCTTTGTTATGGGCCTCCTCAAAAACAGCTTAGGAAGCTGCAGGAGGAGGTAAGGCCCCTAGAAAAAAATCTCTGAGACCAGAAGGCACCAGTGTCCACCTGTGTGTAATCAAGTCATGGCATCAAACTTGTGCCCCAACTGCCATGTTACATAGTACCTGGCATGCAGCACATGCACAGTGAACATTAATAAAGTATTAGATAAACAGAAACATGAATAAGCATAAAAGTAGTTGATTGTAATTCATTATATCCAATATATAATTTTGAATTCAACTTCAAATCACAGAATTGGGAATAAATGGAAGGTGGAAAATCAGTCTCGGTTCTGCATGCACTTGACTCTCCTTGGGTCATGTCCAATCCACTCTCAATGCCACTCTTATCCATAACACACATTTGGGTTTCTGGTCGGGGAACACCTTGTTAGAAAAGCAGGAATGCTTTTGTTTCCAGATTAAAATGGCTACCTGGAGGCAATGCTGACAAAGCGAGTCTTCCCAGGCCTGAGGCAGCCTCTAGTCTAGGGACCCGACTCAGTCGATAGAAGTGAAGGGGGTGAAGTTTGAGGAAGAGACCTGAGTCCCAGCAGCCGTTCCCTGCAGGCTGTGGCTCTGACCTCCAGCCCTGTCATTCACTCATGTGTCCGTTTGTCCAAACACTCACAGGGTTGAGCAGGTTCCCTCGTGCAAACCTAGCCTGGCTGCTCCGCCTCGCTGCTCTACGGTGTTCTTGCAGTCCCAGGAGCTTCCTTTTCCTGCGCTTATGGTTATTTCGTGCTTCAAAATGCGGTTCAAACATATTTTAATGCCATGAAACCCCAAAGCTTCAAAGTAAGTAGTTGTCATTGTAGGAAACCCTAAGGCTCTGAGCTTTGAGGGAGCTTTGCTTGTTGAGGAGCCTGAATCTTGACTGATCCTGCTCACACCTGGGTGTGACCCTCAGACCTCTGCTCAGCTGCCCCAAAGGAGGGCCCTACATGTTCTTCTCCCATACTGTCCTGAGGTTTTCAAGATCATCATCAATTTAGCTTATAATTTCACAGCTACTCAGATTTTCCACACAGATAAACTACCAGGTTGTTGGATTACTGAAACAGCCTGGTTATTTTTAAATCGTGATCTTTAAATTTTGCTGTGAAAACAAATCACATCTGGCCAATTTTATTAAAATCCATGTTCAGATTCAGTAGGCCTGGGGTGGGGTCCAGGATTCTGTATTTCCAACAGGCTCCCAGTTGACAACTGTGCTGCTTATCCGAGGCCCTCACTCTGAGTAACAAGTGTAGAGCCAGAACCTCAGGTGCCCTTCCTTCCATCAGCAAGACCAGGGTTTCTCAGTACTTTGTAAAAAAAAAATAAAAAATGAACCACCTATTAATAATAGGACACTCATCAAAACTTACTCATCAGTCGGCCAGTTTCAGAGTCTCTTTCCATTTTCCAATCTGCGTATAACACTTCACCTTCCTAAAAAGATTGCAGGTTCCTGATGAGTACAATGGCCACTTAAGAGGCAAACCCCCCTCATATTCATGTGCTAAGACTGACTGTAACAAACACAAAGCAACAGGTCAATTTAATCAAATGATAATTTGGTACAATGGTGGGAAAAGGCTCAGACTGAGCTTTTGTTTGCACACAGTGACGTGGAGAACACAGGCCAGTTTGGAGATAATCTATGTACACAAGTTCCAACTGCCGGGTTTCCACAGTGTCTGTTGTCAACAGGAAATTGTCCCCATGGACTGGAAAGCTCTAGGAGGAGAGGGATCTCATTCAACTTACTCAGCGGCTTATTCTCGCACGTTACACGTTAGTACTAGATCAAAATTTGTGGGAACAGAGAGAAAGAGGGAATATGAGTTCATAATATGGCACCCATTACCACTTAAAGCTGAGAACAGGAGACATAAAGCTCCACCCAAGTGACATAATAAGCAATATAGATTCCAGTTCCACTTATGGCCACTTTTCAGGAGAGGAGAAGGCAGAGGGACCTGTTTAAGGAAGAGGCAGTTCCTTCCCTGGGAAAGAAGGAACCAGGGAACGGCAGAGGTTGGTGAGGTCTAGAAAAAAATTCAGTCTTACAGGTGCAAAAACTGAGACTCTGAGAGGTTGAATGACTTACTCAAGGTCACCCAAACGCAGTCTCCTGATTTCAGTTTCCTCCACAGGATAATCAGAGAGCAACACAGAGAAGGTTGCATAGAAATAGAAGTTGAGAGGACTCGGAGGACAGGATGGAATAGTTTGAACCAGGTCAATAGATCTGTGTTGAGCGCCCACTACATGATCAGCCACGTAGTCAGAAACCTTCACTTCCTTCCCCATCCAGTTACCTGGTTCTCACAATCCCACTTCCCTCAGCCTCTGTGTGAACATTCTTGGCACCCCTTGGCCAGGTCCTTTTTTTTTTTTCACACTAGAATGTTTTATTCTGAAACAAGATTCTGGATTTTTTTTTAAAGTTTCTTTATCTTTATTGTTGAAAATATTACAGATGTCCCCGTTTTACCCCCACTGATCCCCTCCACCCCACATCCACCTACCCCCAGGCCTTCCCCGGACCAATGTCTGTGCCCATGGGTTATGCTTATAAACATGTAAGTTCTTTGATTAATCTCTCCCTGCCCACTCCCCCCACCCCGCCTTCCCTCTGAGATCCCTCAGCCTGTTCCATGCTTCTGTGTCTCTGGATCCACTCTGTTCATCGGTTTATTTCGTTTGTTATAATCTATGTACAAGGACAGAGAATTTTGTCTGTTTTATTCACTGCTTTATTCCCTGGGCCAAGAACAGTGCCAGGCATACCTTAAATGCTCAAGGGTATCTGTTGAATGATGGAAGACGTTAATCACAAGCAGGGCAAGGGCTGGACAGGCAGGAGAGAATCTGGTGTATAAGAAGAATAAGAGAAAGAGCAGAGAGGCCGAGTGAGGGAGGGAGACTGCTGCAGACGGGGTCGGAGAGCAAGGAAGGGGCCAGATTATGCAGAATCTTACAGGCCACAGTGTGAGGAGTTCAGATTTGAATCCATGTTTTGCTGAGTCATCACTGGAGAATTTAAGCAGTGTTAAGCTTTAATCTCTTTAAAAATTTTTTTATTTATTGATTTGGGGGGGAGAGAAACATTGATTTGTTGTTCCACTTACTTATGACTCATAGGTTGATTCTTGTATGTGCCCTGGCCGGGGATCAAACCCCAAACCTTGTCTTACCGGGATGATGCCCTAACCCACTGAGCACCCCAGCCAGGGCTGTTTTAATTTCTGTTTTAAGATCCTACAGTTATTTATCTTTCTAAAGTGGTCATTTCCCTGCTTTAAAATTTTGGTGTACGCAGGGACAAAAGTTATATGATTCCACTTACACGAGGAACCTAGAATAGTCAGATTCATAGAGACGGAAAGTACCATGCTGGCGCCCATGGCTGGGGCAGGAGGAGATGGTGAGCTCCTGCTTTCACGGGTCCCGAACTTCAGTTTGGGACAGCGAAAGAGTTCCGGTGATGAATGGTGCCAGTGGTTGCTCAAGGATATAAAAGTATCTGATGCCACTGACTTGTACACTTAAAAATGGTTAAGATAGTAAATTTTGTTATATTTTTTTTCAGAATTAAAAAAAAAATCTAAAAACTTTGGCGTGAAGCCCAAGTTATAAAACACATATCTATTTGGTAGTGCTCCGTTGCTTACCAAATGAAATTCAAATTACCTAACATGGCAGGAAAGGCCCTGGGGTTGGACCCTGACTGAGCACTCTAGGCAGAGCTTTTGCTCTTGCACCAAACTACTCCACATCTCCAGACAAACCTCAGACTCTCGTAACTCCAACATACTGTCCAGGCTGATACTCCTGCAAAACATACTCTCACCCTGATCTTCCAGGTGCCTCCTGAACCTCCAAAGTCCAGCCAGCTCACAGATCACCTTCCCCCACCTCTTCCTTCCTGCCCTTTGGCCTCTGGACTGGGGTTGGTGTGCTCTCAGCATATCTGCTCCGTAACTAGGCAGCGAGCACCCTGAGGACAGGGCCTGTGCTGTTGACTCATTTCTGATCCGGGGTCCAGCGCTGTGCTTGGCAGGCAATACACTCCCAAGAGCTGGTGGAACTGCCTCATCCCCTCATGACACTAAAGTGTGAATGCAGATTGCATTTGGTGAGACTGAGCTATGGTGTCTTCCCACAGTGGTCTGATCTGGGGGAAAAGCCTTTTATTTCAGGAAAATAGAGTCAGGAATGAAAAGGCATCTCTGCTGCTGTATGACAGTAAGCCTCATTCCTTCATCTGTAAAATGGGAACAATAATATCACGCTTACAAGACTATTAAGATTAAATGAGATATAATTAGGAAAATACCTGGGACAGATCCTGCTATATAGAAAATGTCCAATAAATGTGAGCCTGCTTTGCTTATTATAGTAGATACTAAAAATGGCAGCCATTAGTGTTATTATACCCAGCTGTTATTTACCTTTTGAACTGAGTGAGCTTTTTTACTCTTTCCTAGATGGTGCTGGCCTAACAAAACAATACATTTTCTTAGTGAATCTCTAACACTTAGCATGGTTTCTTCCATGTGATATAGGTGTTTGATAAAATTTGCAGGTCAATCAATACTGTTAGTAAAAAGGGTCACGCTTAGTTTTACAGATTTTTTCCACGTTTGTTCAGGAATATTTTAAATATGAACCTATGAGGCATTGAGGTTAAAATTTTTAAGTGCAAATAAGCATTTTAAAATATAAAAGAGGTATAAATATTATAAGCTTTCATAAAACAAACATGTACAATAGGGGTTATCATATATTTCAGTGTCATTAAAATATTAATTTTAAAAACAGGTAATTCCAACTCACCTCTGTTCCCACAAAGAACTTCGTGCAGAAGTCATCTACTGGCTTGAGCATATTGGCCAACCCACTCTCCAGGTTCTGGTACGGGTTCATGTCTCCAGCCTTTACAACCATGTTCTGAGCTAACGCTGATTTTCAGAGGAGTATGGGTAGAAGAAGCACATATTTATAGTGAATGATCTTTAAAAATATACTTAGTTTATATTTTCTGTCCATCGCCATCCATATCTGCCCCATTTCTTCCTCAGTGGGGTGGATGAAAATCCAATCATTTTCAGACTTCTAATTCAGCAGTGGGATGTTTTTTCCCCCTCTTAACCAAAGCTTATGCAGGAGCCCTGTATGTAAAACTGATGGAAGCTGCATTGCTCTTTGAAGTATTACCTGGGTGGAAATGGGGAGATCTCTCTGCCTACCTTGTGTGTGTGTGTATGGGGGGGGCTCTAAAAGTTTTCATGGTACACAGTTTGAAAATCACGTCTATGTATTTCCATCATTTCAAAATTATTTACAGTAAAAATCGGACACTAAATATATCCCCTGAGTTATAGTGCCCTTGATATTCTTAATAAGAGTTTCTAATGAGAAATTCATGTTATATTTATTCAGTTGGCATCCTATAGAAATTTTTCAAACAATTCAAGATTAGCCTTTTAAGTGTAAAAAATTCTTTAACTTCTAAAAAATAAATCCATCTAAAATGTATCACTTGTTTGTCATAAGCACAGCATATATAACATTATTTGTTTTCTGATTGGCCTAGATTTATTATTTATGAATATCAAGGATTGTACTATATTAGAGCTATAACTATACATGCAAACAGTAAAAGCACAGCTAATCTGTAAGCAGAAATTCAAATGTCATCCGAAACTATTTTCTTTTTAAAAGTATCTGATGTCATTTTTACTTAAAACAAAAATCTTTTTATGATCTAAAATTAGTAAATGTTATTTATTGAAACTTTGGCAAAGAGCAAAAAGCATGAGAAAAATTACAAAACTTATCTATTATCATATCTAGCAGAGCTAACCACTATTAAAATATTAGTATATTTTCCTCTAGTTACTTTTCTATGTGTATATATATATATATATATATAGATAGATATAGATATAGATATAGATATAGATATAGATATAGATATAGATATAGATATAGATATAGATATAGATATAGATATAGATATAGATATAGATATAGATATAGATATAGATATAGATATAGATATAGATATAGATATAGATATAGATATAGATATAGATATAGATATAGATATAGATATAGATATAGATATAGATATAGATATAGATATAGATATAGATATAGATATAGATATAGATATAGATATAGATATAGATATAGATATAGATATAGATATAGATATAGATATAGATATAGATATAGATATAGATATAGATATAGATATAGATATAGATATAGATATAGATATAGATATAGATATAGATATAGATATAGATATAGATATAGATATAGATATAGATATAGATATAGATATAGATATAGATATAGATATAGATATAGATATAGATATAGATATAGATATAGATATAGATATACGAGCAGATTTTTAAAAATTGGGTATTTTAGTCCTATATTCTACTTTTCTATTTTTCAAAGCTATACCTTGGACACTTTCCCAGGTCACTTAATAGTTTTTGAATAATTAGGAATGTGATATTAAATTTCAGGAAAAGATGGTAGGGAAAATATGCTCATAAAACCCTCCTCACCCCATCTCCTCAATATATCCTCATTTCCCATGGGTTATATCACCCATGGGAAAGCAAATAACAAACATAACAACCAACTAACCAACATATAAATGAAAACTAAAATAGGAGAAGAAAACATCAGCTATACTAAATACATATATTGCATTTCAAAAATTTTTTTAGCATAATTCTGGATGAAAGTAAAAAATAATTATCATTAGTAGGTTCATACCAACACTTCCATTGTCTGGAATCTATGTGTTCTGAGGGGCCCCTTTTCCCATTAGGTAAGACATTAAAAACAAGTATCCAAGTCAAGCGAACCATGGATCCAGGTCTTTAAAGAACTGTGTTACTGTCAGTCAACATTCAGAAATAACAAGGCATGTCCAAACACATTGTTCTTACTAAAAGACATTCATAATACATTTAGCAAGAGCAAAAAGGCATTTTGTATCCATTTGATATATAAAATTAAAGTCATTAAAATATTTATTTCAAATTCTTCAGTCTTATTTCAATGTCTGTTTTTCTCTTTTTAAATAACATACATAAATATATTAGTAGGACCTCACTTATATGTGGAATCTAAAGAACAGTATAAATGAACAAACAAAACAGAAACAGAATGATAGAGAAAACAGACTGATGGTTTCAGGGGGACAGGTGAGGAGACTGGGCGGAAAAAGTGAAGGGATTGAGAAATACAGATTGGTGGTTGCAAAATACTGATGGGGATGTAAAGTACAGCATAGGAAATGCAGTCAATAATATTATAATAATTATATATGGTGCCAGGTGAGTACTAGAAATATCAGGGGGAACACTTTGTAAAGTATATGATTCTCTAACCACTATGCATACACCTGAAACTAATACAAAATAATATTGAATGCAAGCTGTAATTGAAAAAAAATTGAAAAAAAAGAAAAGACAGAGTGTAAATCATGCTTAAAGTAAAACAAGCTATAAGGGGATTAGAGACCAAACCTAATAAAGCTGGAAAACAAATTGGAATATATATATATATACACACACACACACACACACACACACACACACACATATGTGTGTGTGTGTGTGTGTGTGTATATATGTATGTATTAGTAGAGTAGAACATGTATATATTTTTTAAATAAACATATGTTCATTGGGAATATGTGCTCATAATAGTTTCCCGAGGGGGTGCAACATGGGAAACTGTGGAGCCCTCTGATCTACACGGGAACACAAGAGCCTGGTCCCTGGTCACTGCAGGTGAGCACAGGAAGAGGCACAGGTGAGGTGCACTGTGAATGACAGCTATCCCGAGGGAGAGACCGGACATGGGGGGCCTGAGGACAGAGTCCCGGGCGACATGAATTCTGCTCTGGACAGACGGACTTTGAGGGAAAGGTTAGGTTCAAGCCCAGAGGAGAGGGAGGCGGGAGAGGATTCTTGGCAGAGGCAGGAGAGTCGACCCGGTCGCCAAGGGAGGCCGCGGTGAGCCGGGTGCTGCAGCTGGAACCTGGGCTCGCTCGGCGACGGAGCCAGGCCAGGAGCCGGGGAGAAGCGAAGACGCAGCAGACAACTCACAAAAGCCCAGGAAGGGATTAGTCCACAGCCTGTCATGTGGTCGAGTCAAAGAGAGGTGGCCGAAGGAAAATGTTGCCATGGACTGCGTTCGCTCGGACTCGGCCCAAACAGCTCGGGTGCTTAGGAAATGCCGCCGCGCCCTCGCAGGGCACGGGCCCATCAGCCAGGCGGCGGTGCCAACAGCAGCTGGCCCAGCGCCGCGCTCCAGTCAGCCCCCACAGCTCAAGGGGGTTAAACATCAATCCTCCTTCGGGAGTGAGCCCGCTGAGGCTTAAGGAGCTTGGCCAAGGTCTCACACCTGGTGGCTCACATTGACTGCGAGTTGATGATGTGCTTGCTGTTCTTAGAGTTTTACATTATCAACTCATTTGACCTTCATAGTACTCTATGAGGCACTTATCTTTATTATTTACCCCACTCCACCCCCTCCTATCTTATCAAACAGTTTTTGTTTTTTTTTAAAAAAAGTTAAGCACAGGGTGGTAAAGTAATTTGACCTGGTCAAACAATAAATTGCGGCTTAGGGATATAAACCCAAACCATTGACTCCAGAATCCACACCCTAGGCCGTTACACCACATTGCTGAGAAGACTGTAACGCGGGCTCTAAGGGAATCCCCAAAGAGGAATTCCAAAACCGTTTACAGCAAAGGCTTCCTCACTGGAATAAATACTGAAATAAGAAGGGCACCCTTATGGCCTAAAATGGCAGGCAAAGGGTGAGTGGCCTGTGGCCACTAGATGGCAACAGAGTTCCTGACGCTGACACCGAGACAGCGAGGCCTTGAGAAGAGCCTGCATTTGTGATTTATAGTTGAAGAACATGAGTGTGTTTCAGTCAACAGGTCCAAGTCATCTTTCGACCACTTCAACAAAGGTGTATGGGTTGAGTTGAGATCGATTTTAAAGTCAATTATTATTTCTTTACTCAGTTTTATAGTGGTGCTGTAAAATATTAATTTTTCTATTATATTCAGATTGAGAATGGTAACTGTTTCTTAGTACTTCATAACCTATTTTGCTAGGCTTGAGGTATGTTCCATTCCACAGGATTATTCCTTGAGAACATATATATTCATTAAGTGGGCTTCATTAATTTTTTTTAATGTATTAAGTTCTCAAAAATACATGAATGTGCTCAATAAATGCTTGTGAAACTGGACTAAAGTGAATTCTTTAAAATATTTTTGTGTGCAAAGGCAGTTTTAATGTGTTGGCTAGAGCTATTACAACCATTATAAAGTTCCATGTTGGAGGGATTGACTTTTTGTACTCTTTTAACAAATTAGACTATTCTAGCAAGTAACCTTAGACGTATAAGCCACTAACACTCAAACTATATCAAATGCTTTTTTAATTAAAAAAAAAAAGGCAGTTACCTTGTGTTTTTTCAAAGAGATGGTCTTTATTCAGACTTAACTTGGTTGGACAGTGGTCTAAACTTGTTTCACCTTTAGACAGTCTTAGCTTTTGGGAGAACATACAAGACATATTATTTCCATATGTCCTTAAATTATCCTTGCTTTTCCCTTCCGCCCTCAGATTGTTTTCCACCTCCCTGTCTTTCTCCCTTCTCCATTCTCTCTCAGGTTTTTAGTTGCCTTTCCCCATGGAAAGCACCTAAACCACAGTTTCTAAAACCATGCTACTCAAGGGAACTTACCTGGGGGCTCATTTCCAAATCCCAGTCTTATGTGTTGCGTAATTTCTGAAAATGTTGTGTATTCTATTTCCTAACACATCCTTATTGGTTTTAATATAAAACAATGGCTCATTCTCCTGTTCCCTAAATCTTTCAGTTAAAGAATCTCCAGAAAGAGGTGCAGGAACCTTTCATGGTCAGGGCACCGCCGAGTCCTTTCCAGGGGAGACACGTGCCCCTGAGTTCCAGCAGAGGCCTGGGTCTGCCCCGGAATGGAAAACGGTCACATGTTACATTTTCCCCTCATGGCTCCCTGCCAGCCTTTCTCCATCAGGATGTTTGTCCACAAGCTGTACAATTATTCTCAGGTGAGTTTTTGTTTGCTTGTTTCTTTTTAAACTATTTCAAGCTTAGTGAATCCTAGCCCAGGAAATTTCTAACCTTCTCTTTCTAATTTCGAATCCCAGTTACTTCAGGAAAATTCTCACCCCTTCTCGCTCTCTCTTCTATTGGAAACAAATATAAAATAATGTAATTCTAGGGATACTTACAAATCAATTTTTTAAAAAAGTTTTACGTTTGGCATTAGACTTAGACATTCCAAAGAAGAGGGCCATCCATGTCAGCAGCCCATTCATACTTTCCACACACAACCCGCTACAGCCATTTCTTCCTTTTTCTAAAAAATTTTTACCTTTATTGTTGTAAGTATTACAGATGTCCCCTTTTCCCACCCCGCTGACTCCCTCCACCCTACTCCCACCCCCTCTCCAGGCTTCCACTGCACTGTTTAAAACTTGCTTTTTTTTTAATTAAAAAAAATTATTGATTTTTAGAGAGAAAGGGACAGAGAGAAAGAGACAGAGAGATTTGTTGTTCCACTTATTGGTGGATTCTTTGGTTGGTTCTTGTCTGTGTCCTGACCAGGGATCGAACCCACCACCAGGATGATGCTCCAACCAACTGAGCTACTTGGCCAGGGTACTAAATTAAAATTGCTTTTGTTGCAGCTCTGCTGCTCAAGATAAGTACAAGTAATTTCTCGTTCAATTACTTTTCAGTTTTGTTTGGTTATAGGTATTACAATACTGTTTCAACTATTGATATGCAAAATATCCAGAGTTTTGCCTACAACAGAGGTAAAATTAGCTTTTGGGGGCTAATCTGAGAACATATCCACCTTCAAGCAACTGATATGCAATTGAATAATTATTATGCAAACTATTTGTAAATTGTGGCTTGCTTACACGGGAGCAAATGTTAATTGCTAGTTCACGATAATTGTGATTTTGGCCTGATGAGGTCAGGCATCATAGTAACTCAATCAAGGAATTTATTGGATGAATGGGTACAGGAATTGTAAAGTCCTGTGTTAGCCTGAGCTGCCCTTCTTTTAGAGTGTATGTAGGTATGTCTATGCATATAAATTGTATAGTGTATGGAATAAATTCTATATTACTTACCTTAGAGAGAGGTTTCCAGGAGAGATCTAGATGCAAAAAAGTAGGTGGTATGTCACTAGGAACTTCAATATTTTCCTCTTTTTTTTTCTCTGTTGGTTGAGTGGTTGCGTATTTCTGTTGTCTGATATCCCAAAAGCATATTGTGCTTAAAAAAAAGTTTACATTTTATTTTTTTGTTAAGTAGAAGTAATAGGAGTAACCTCAGGACTGTTATTCTTGCTGCTACACATTAGCAACGTGACCATGGTTATATCTTAATATCTCTGAAAATAAGATTCTTATGAAATGGAATTATTTCTTATTTCCTATCTTAGAGAATTATACACTTCATAGGGTTACTTAATAACCATGCTGGTCTTTAGACTAATATTATCAAATATGAGAATTGAGTTAGTTAGGAGATTGACACAATCTTCTTTTTTTAACATAACAGCTTTTTAAAAATATAACTCATATACCCCCCCAAATTCATTCCTTTATTTATTTTTAAATTTATCTTTATTGTTGAAAGTATACAGATGTTCCCCCCATTAATCCCCTCCACCTTGCATCCGTTCCACCACCAGGCCTTGCCCACAATATTGTCTGTGTCCATGGGTTATGTATATGTGCATATAAGTTCTTTGATGAATCTCTCCCCACCCACTCCCTGACCTAGGCCTTCCCTCTGAGATGTGTCGGTCTGTTTCATGCTTCTGTGTCTCTGGTTTTATTTTGTTCATCCATTTAAAATGTACAATTCAATGGTTTTTAATGTATTCACAGAGTTTTGTAACCATCACCATATCTGTTTTAGAAGATTTTTATCACCTCCAAAAGAAATCCTGTACAGATTAGCAGTCACTCCCCATTCATATATACATAGTGGAAACACCACATATACAGATGGAGTTGGATTTAATGTGCTTTTTACATAGTAGGCATCCAATACATATTATTTCTCCTTCCTCATGGGTTATGAAAATCAGATGAGATAATGTATGTGAAAATTATTTTTAAGTTCCACACATATATAGTGTTATTTTTAGTGCAATTAACTTGGTAAAAAATATATAATAAAACTTGTACAGTACTGTAGTATAAAGGGTCTTTGTATTAATTACATAAAAACCACAAAAACTCTGTCATATTAGCTCCCTAATTTCTATCACTGAGGTTATGAGTAACCTGATTTAATACATTTAAGATATTATTAAAGATTTTGATGTATATGTATTTAGATAAATGGAAGGTAACTGAAGAGTAATAAAATTTGTATTCATTTATGTGAACTATTTAATTAATACTAATAATTTATTAATCTTAACAATGAATAAAGAGTTAAAATTAATCAAATTAATTTTGATAAAATTATTAAAAATAGTAATCATTTTTGTGTTGTAAAGACATAAATCTTTGGGAGAGTGCCACAAATGATGAAATAAGACCTATTTTAAAATATAAGTATAGCTGATTTAAAACTTTCAAAATTACATAGCTCTTCTTGAATCTCATATATGCCATTAACTTGTGAAATTGGTTATGCTAAATACATAAAATCAGTTGAACTTTCTGTATAGATCAGTCACACATTCTTAATTAATGGAACTTTATTTTATCTTATCCTAGTATATTATAAAACCTTTAGCATGGCTGAAATATAAAGGTTAGGACTGATGAGTTTTCCAGATAACTAAAAGTTAGCTTTTCCAAATGCATAAACTTTTTCTTTTTACTTTAACAACTTTTGAAGGAACTATTCTTAGAATATTTCTAAATTCAAGGACCATCATTATAAACAACAATCAAGGATCTATATCTTCAATATAGAACATGTAATATTTTTAGTCTGCTCAGTGTTTCTAAATGTTTTCCAAGGCTACTGAAGAGTGATGTAGCTCTGCATTTATAGTTTACAATCAACATTATACCATAAGCATTTCTCCATTAAAAAATAATATAATTTTAATTTTGGCATAATATTCTATATGGCCCTATAAATGGTGTGTTGCTTTTGCCTGGGGAATAATTACTGTCTCCCCACCATTTTTTAGCAAAAGCATTCTAAATGTTTGGAGGGAGCTGCTTCTTTCCTATCGGATACATTCAAGTTGGAACTGTCACTCAAGGTGCTCTGCCATTCCTTCCCTGGCCAAAGGGCTGAGTTCATAACATAATAGAAGTTAATCAGGCTCTCTAGTGATACAAAGGTTGGGACTGATTCATTCATGATGAAGACGTTGGCCATTTATCCCTGCGACCCAAATCCCTGGGGCTCTTTCTGTGGCCTGAGTTAGCTCTTCATTTTATTCAGCAACATCATTATTTACTAGCTACAATATAGGACATAACTATATATATAACCACTATATACAGTGAGCTTTGCCTTCAGAGCCTTATTTCCTTTATCCATAAGTATTTTTCAAGGTTGTTGCAAATATAAAAAAGTTAACCTATTAAAGCACCTAGTAGAGTTTCGGCATAAACTTCCAATAAATGTATTTCCAGTAAATTTATTTTGTCTCTTTAAGCAAGCCATGGTCAATTTCTGTTGCTTGCAATCACAGAACCTTACCCAATACATGCCCACAGGATTACTCAGATCTCCCCCACCCCTTGCCCATGCTGATATTAATGATGCCTTTGGCTGCCACCCCATAGCTGCTGCTTCTGCTGTCAGAGTCTACGGCTTGAGGTGTCATTGTTTCTATTGGGATCAAAGCTACTTGGAATGGTAAAATTTTGCCAGTATTTGGATGCTAGATAATAGTGTATTACTCTTCATATTTCCTATTTCATTATGAATTTTGAGTTCTTATAAATTGGGAGGTGCAATTTTCAAAGTAAATATTCTTCAACATAGTTACCAAATTGTTTATAAAAACATTTTTATAAATAGGCAGTAAAAATATAAAACTCTCACTTTTTAAAAGCTTTCCAAATTAAATATTGTACTCTTCATAATTGTGAGATAAAATTAAATGTAAACAATGCAAACTGCAAATTTACAAATATGAAAATGTGAAGAAGCAGAATAACTTTGGATAATGTTATACAACAGCATCCACCATGAAACCTCGTTAATTCTTTTTACAACATATTTCTCTCTATAAAAATAGTGCGGTGAAGGCCTGGGGAGGGGGCAGGAGGGGGTCAATGAAGGAAAAGAGGTGGCATCTGTAATACTTTCAACAATAAATACAAATAAAAATATATAAAAATGTATTTTTTTTTAACCAGCAACAATCTATAAAATTTTTTCCTTTAGTTATATAAGGTTTAATGACTACAATAAAAGTTATTTAAGGAACAGAAAGAGACAGTGATTTTAGAAACATCTAGGAAAGAGGAATATATTGTATGAAAACGTATTAGGCAGCATTTACGGTAAGGCATACCAATCTCCCGAGCAGGTGACAAGTTGACAGCATATCCCACTTCGATTCTCAAAGACGGAGCCCATTCTGTTAATCTATTTTTTTAAAAAATGCAGGAAGTAAATTCTGTGCACTTAGAACAGTAATGTCTTTTTACTCATAACTTTTTAAATTTTTAATTTTTTCTTCTTTGTTTTAATTTTTATTAAAAGGGTATAACACTATCACAGAAATTTGGAAAACAGAAGGTTTGAAAATCAAATGCAATTCTGTCACATACTTTCCAGTCTTTTCCCACAGAAACATTTTTGGGTAATTTTAATTAGTATGCATATAAATTTCTATCCCGAGATTATAATTCGAGTGCTTACCTGTGTACTCATGAGTCATTCTATTAGTTGAGTAAGACATAGATGATGCGTCAGAATAACATTACCCATCATTATGAGGAATGTAGGCTCTGTTTTTCACTATTATTTGTGGAGTCAAACAAAGGAGCTTTTGAGATTGTTAAACAGGTAAAACCAACAGGGAGGAGGCTGAGTGTTAAATTCGACACCAACAGCATGTGGTGAATGTCGTGGCCCCTACATTTGTTGAGGAGACAGTGGCCCAGGTCTGCTGGCACACAGAGGATTCCAAGGAAGGTTAATGCTCCTCGGGGTCCTGGAAGGTCCAAAATTCCCACCAGTTTGCTCTCAAATGAGGTGAAAGGTTTGGGGGCAACTTGTGAAGTTGCTGCTCTCAAATCAATGGGAAATATGACTTTCCCCAATTCTCTACCCTCCTGGCAAAAAGGCAGAGACGGGGCTTCCAGCAGCAAATAAACAGTGAAGTAGGGGGAGGAGGGAGGCTACAGGTGCTGCACTGCGAAGGCCTGTTGGCCTCACAGGAGCTGGGACCCTGGAAACCTGGCTGACACTGCTGTGGCTGATCCAGGTAAGGTCAGTAACAGCTGCCAACCTCCACTCACATCTGAGAAACAATCCAGACCCACGTTGCTTCTCCTTCTAATGAGCTTCCCTGGTGTAGAAAGGGACTCCAGAGGTGTGCTTGCTCCGGGGTTTTATGTTTTATTTAAAAAATATTATAGAGCCCTGGCCAGATAGCTCAGTTGGTTAGAGCATCATCCCAATATGTCAAGGTTGCAGGTTCAATCCCTGGTCAGGGCACATACAAGAATCAACCAATGAATGCATGAATAAGTGGAACAACAAATCGATATTCCTCTCAAATCAATAAATAACATTAAAAAGTATATATTATAGAGGTCCAGAAAATAGGTTTTAAAAATCAAATATAATTCCACCTTGTATTTCTTCCAATCTTCTTTTACGGATACATTTTGGTATGATTTGTCAGGGTGTGCATATGATTTTGTATCTTGAGACACAAATTGCATAATTTCTTTGTATGAATTGCCAAAATATGAATTACTGGTCAAAAGTTTGAAAATTTGGATGCTTTAAGAACCACATTGAGCCTGGCTGGGCGTGGCTCAGCGGTTGAGCGTTGACCTAGGATCCAGGCAATCTCGGTTTTATTCCCGGTCAGGGCACATGCCCGGGTTGCGGGCTCGATCCCCAGTCGGGGGCCTGCAGGAGGCAGCCGATCAATGACTCTCTCATCATTGATGTTTCTCTCTCTCTCTCCCTCTCCTTTCCTCTCTCTGAAATCAATAAAGATATATTTAAAAAAAAAGAAAAGAACCACATTTATTAACTGTATGGAACCACATTGATTAACTTTTATGTTGGAACCAACAGTGTTGGAGTTTATTGGTTGCACCATCTCATTGTTTCTAACACAGGGTATTATTTAAATTTTTCACTCAAAAATTAAATAGGTCCAAAATAGTACGTTATTGTTGCTCTATTATTAATTTCTTTGATAGTAGAGAGGTTAAATGATTTTCATGTTTATACACTAATTGTTTTTCAGTCAGTATATGTCTTTTGCTTATTTACTGGAAATTCTGTACTTACCATATTTGGGACAAATATTTTCCTTCATTTTTTATTTGCTCTTTATTTTTTAATTGAGATATCTACATGTATGTTTCAAATTTCTTTTAAAATATATTAGTTTAGGAAACTATCTCCAATCCAGAAATATGATATTTTATTCTGACGTGTTGTAATTTTCCTGTGATGTTATTTTTATTTAAATTTATCATCACCTGAATTAATTTGTGTGTATGGTGTGAGTTGAAATGGAGTTCCTTCTCTTGGGTTGTAACTTCCATTACCATATGTTAAACTTTCATATCTAACAGAAACTATATCTGGGCTATTCATTTGGTGCATTTTAACTTTTTGAAATGTTGTTGCTTTGTATAATCCATTTGAATACCTTAAAGTTCTAATCACTTTTCACAGCTCGAATTTTTCAGATATTCTTTTATATTCTCCCTTGTTAATTCTTCAAAGTACCACAGTAAACCTTTAGTGTCCCTGAGTGAGACATTTGGGGATCTCACCAGCTTCCAGATTCACAAAAATGACAGCTGAGTGCAGAAGCGCAGAGCCAAACTGCAGCGCTGATGCTGGGCAGTCGGCCGGGCTCGCTCGCTGTACAGCTGGTTTTGGCCTGTTTCATGGTGCGCTCAGTTCAAGGCGGCCTTGGCAAAATTACACATTCCTGTATGTCACAGGTCTTCAGACTTGCCTGCTCCAAAGAGCTGACATTACAAATGTGAAATATGCAAAGACTAAGGGTGTAAAATATCTACATTCTGCTTTTACTTACCAAACCTTCTCCGCTATTGTATTATATCAATGTGGACACCCCCTACATTTTCCAGCGCTTTTTAAACCATGGAGGTTGAAACATTGGCCTTACTCTCATCCCCAAGTCAGTTATGGGTCTGGTAACAGTGACACAACTGTTTGGTGCCTAGTTCCTGGTAATTCCACATTTAAACATAAATAGATTATTGACTTGAAATATCCTCTTTAAACAGTCTTCCGAACATTTTCAGTCCAGCAGAAGAAAACTACGAAGCCACTGAGACTCACCTCAAATGTGTCCGACAGCCAGTGTATATCTGTAATTACTTTCTTATGTCCACTTTCTATGGAGGAGACTGCACAGTGTCTGATATACATTGCTTCTTTATTATAGTCTGGTTCAAGGAGAAACATGGGCTGGGAAATTGTGAAAAGAAAGTTATGTGCTAACTTCAGAGAGCTGATGAAAGAACTCATGCTTTACTCATCCTACCAATTAAAATTAATGACTTGGAGAAATAGCAGTTCAAAGGAAAAACAGAAACTAGTATTTCTATGCATTATATATTTAGGTAATAAGATTATGTACTTTCCCCCCTTCAGTTTAGCCTAAGATTTTGTCTCTAAACTTAACAAAACTTGTTGACCCGCTCCCTAAAGAATCAACGAGGTCCTGTTCTTGAAGGAGTATTTCTTTGTGTGCCCAGAAGGCCACATCCCGTGGCTTCTCGGTGGGAGACCTGCTGATATTCAGGTGGAAGAGCTGCGGTGGAGGTGTGCAAATGGCGGGTAAGGGCTGAGTTGGGAGCTCAGGAAACTTTCCCCAGCCCTCTTGGCGTAATCCGCAGCTTCACAAAATCGTAGTATATTTATTACCCCCTTCATTTTATGCAATGAGAAAATTGATGTTTACTGAGGTGGGGGAAATGTCCACACTTACAGGACTGTGACCCAGAGCCTGGGTACATGGTCACCTGTCCAGTGCTCCTTCAACTACATCACTTTAGGAAACTTACCTGGCCCCTTCATTTTATTTAAAGACAATAACAACAACAGAAAGGCCTTAACAGCCCTGGCTGGTGTGGCCCAGTGGTTAGGGTATTGGCCTCCACACAAAAGGGTCCTGGGCTCTATTACATGGCACATCCCTGGCTGCAGTTTCCACCCCCAGCCCCGGTCCGGGCGTGCGGGCCAACCAACCAACGAGTCTCTCTCACATCCATGTCCCCCTCCCTCCCT